GCCAACATATGTACGCGTTTTAATTGGGATGACGTCAGTTAAAAGCGGTTAGCGCACCGCGTTTCCCATGATTTATTTACGTTGAAAAATCTAAATGAGAAACCAAAAACATCGGCAAAATCGTTAAATACATGCATATATATGTAATTGTAATTTTAACTATAAAAAAGATGATAATAATATGTTTACACGTAAGAGAGAATAAAATGTTTTAACTTTTAGATTACAATAATCATCGATAGAATAGACAAATAAAGATTATTATAAATCAAGCATTATTTTGCTTTTTTTTTTCTTAGAGAAAAATCTCTAATTTATCAGCGACGCGCCAGATAAAATGTACTGGATCACCAACTCAACTTCTATGAGGATTTCTTTTTTCTGTGCTAACTTCACGAAAGATAACATCCGAAAATTAGTAAAATATAGATGTGGGTAGACCCGTATGCAACAGCATTAGCGCAAATGCCGAGGAAGATTAATCGCATGTGAGAAATGTCATGGAGATTGACACCCTTTTTCTGTGAGCTCTTTGTAGAATATTTTATTCACAATAATGTTATATTAAAAGATCGCAAGTATTTATGTACAGAATAAAGAGTTTTAATAGCATCTCATGCAATCGCATTAAAATAAACATACGATGCGTTTAAAGTCAACGATAACCCAGATTCTCATCTCGGTTAAACGAGGTTGGCCCGTCGTGACGACGTCATCGTTAATTTTTATTAACCTTTATTCAATTTGCGTCGCACCAATATTGCAGATTTCATTCACGGGAAAGGACTGTTAAAATGATTTTCGTCGGGTCGGATTAATCGCGCCACGATGTGTATACAAATACCTAATTGCTATCACAATATGAATTGTTGAATGGGTGTCGAGGAAACAGATTAATCCTTTTCACTTTAAATTATTTGTATGTGAGACTTAATTTTCTTTGTTAGAGCAATATAAAAATATAGCAACGATACATATTGTTTCTCTCAATAATTCTAATAATTTAGAATAGATTTATAGATATATATTTTTGAGTATCATTAAATTTTATTTGAATGAAATAAATCTTTTTTCTGATATATCTAATTTTGAAAATTATATATTATTTTCTTATTATACCTGTATATGTAAAGATAAGAATACCGATCCATTTAAATTTGTGTGTTTTGATACATTTATAAAATTACTGCTCACAAATAAGATAAACATTAAATATCTATTTCGAATTTTATTACCTGCGATTTGTATAAAAATAATGTAAAAATTAAATAGTACACATCAGGAGAAATTAAAATGCACGTGCCGATTGCGAAATCGAAGCTGGGAGAACTTCCTGGTCACCACGCTAATAATTATAGCTTCAACCGCGATGTCTATCCTTTTAATTCTCGACGTAATATGAGAATAATTGACGGTTCGTGGAAGAAAATATTTGCGTGCATTCAAATGAGACAACGACGTCTCTCAAATGTAAACATGTAAAGAACATCTGAAAAATCAGAAAATGAGATAATAAACCGCACACAGGAATATAGAAAAAACATTACTTTAAAAGGTGTAGAATGTTTAAAAAAATCGAAGTTCTATTTTGAAAAAAAACATACCATTTAATATACATATATCGCCAAAAAAATATTGCGTCTTTTCTTCCATATTTTTTTCATAAATTGTAACAAATACGTGTTTTTCAATTCTTCTAATTTCGAAATTTTGCATATTTTCAGATGTTTATAGCGACTAATATTTTTTAATGATATGTAACATTTCATGGCAATAAATTTTTAATATTGTTTTCCTTATATGAATTGCTCCGTACATTTGTTTTATTTTAAAATCGTGATTTTCAATATCTTGCCGTGTTTACTGTTTCTTTTATGGCATCAGCGATTTGATCGCCGAAAGCAAAGAGAACTCGATCTTAGACCGCTGTTCCAACCGAGTGGACACTGGCCGGTATACATCCAACACCGTGTGACCGTGCACGTTGTTGACCGCAGGAAAAAACTCGACACCTTTTACCTTAAACTTGAAACAGCACGCCGTTGCAAAGAACGCGTGTGCAAAATAATGTTATATCCACCGTCGTATTATTTCTTCGACAACTATCAAGTTTTCCATGTTGTCCGTCGCTCCGTTCGATTTCATCGTCGCAATTTCACGTATGATGTGTACTTGCTGTAATTTAAAGAGACTCTTTTCCTCAACGTTCATTTATAACATTTTGTAGTCTTTTATCGGTTTAAAAATCTCTATTTTTTACTTGGTTTTATTCTGCCAATATAAAAAAGAGTGATAGTTATTTAAAAAGCAAGCGTCTTTTAATTTTAATTGTTACACTATATTCTTTATTGGCGTTTAATATGTTAAAATTAGAGATGTCGAGAGGGAAAGAAAAAAAATGTATAGCATAAACATAAATTTAAATGAATATTTATCTATAATTAAGCTGATAATGGAAAAAAAATAGCGTTCCTTAAGTTTCTTCCTCACCAAGAATATCTACGATAGATTCCTCCTAGAGTTGTTTACTGAATAGCGAACGAGCATTTCCGTATAATAGATTTTTCCGTGTTTGACATCCGCTATTATTTTCATGTTCGAGATTATGTGGTAGGAAGACGCAACAGGTGGCCGACGCCGCCAAGCGTGACGTAGACGTTGAACACGACGGAAGGACGTACGAAAGGATAGGCACCTATGCATTAAGCGATTACCTTAGATCGGATAAGACTGCTCTTTAAGAGGTAATTTCCCTTTTTTTAACCGTTGAAACGTTGGAACTTGTAGCGAAAACAGAAGCACCCGCGAAGAGAAAAGTCGAGATACCTAGTCGGAGAAATAAATTGAGAAGACAAAAAGAAACTAATCGAAGAAGCTGAATCATTCTGTTAAATTGCTCCAACGATCAAAGGAAGAAAGCAACGATTTCAAAAGTTATTTTTGCCACGAGAGACGATTGTTTTATTAATTCTTTCTCGCGTAACTTCTTTCTCGATAGAAAAAAAACATGTAAAAGAATATGTAAAAAAGATATTCTCTATCATCAGAAACAAAATATTATAGTAAGATTATAGAAGAAATGATCGCATAGTATTTCACATATTACACAATAATATATGCATTTATATGCGTCTCGCAAATCATGATCAAAAATAAGTAAATCGAAATTAAAGAAACAAGAAACTTTGTCTTAGGATATTTATCTCTATGTACGCTATTTATATCTTGCTTCTTTTATCAATCTTCTTTGCTTTCTTCGAAGAAGTTCAAAATAATTCATAATCAAAGTATAAACAAGAATATGTGAGATTATATTAATTAATTTAGTACGGCGTAATGTTTGCGCAAAAATCAATACGCGCTTGTGCATTGTACAAATAAATTTTTTTAGTAATAAGATACCTAACAATGTGTGTTTAAACATAGAGATAAGCGCGGCCACACGCATCTGAAAGGTTTCTCATCGACGCACGGAACAGATTGATTAATCGAGTGCAAAGTTAAACGACGCTTACGTCGGGAAGATGTTTCTACGAGACGAGAGCGGAATAAAAAGAAATCGTCGTAAAATTGATAGATCCACGAGAGAAGCGAGATAATATGCGAAAACACTCTGTTACCGTTTCCCTCTCCCTTGGATTGAACCCTTATCGTTGAACTCGCCATCGTTCGCTGGCTGCTACGCGAGAGGAAAACATGCAACGCATATTTTCAACAGTCCGCGTCGCAAACATTTCTGGATTATTACGTCTTCCGTGGAAATTTTTGTTCATGGCAGGAGTCAATTTGTCGACCGTGCACATTATCTAATTGCGGTAATTCGGAGTTACCGTATCGCTGTAAAATACTTGTACAGCTATTTGCAGGAGATATACATATTTGTATAGTTGCTGCAAATGTCTAAAAAAAATAATAAGGATATTCATAAAATTTAATTCACGTGTTGTTTTGTTTCTGCAATAATATTTTACATAACTAACTAATTACATAAAAATAAATATTTATAAAAAACATAATTACATACGAATTTACGTCATAAAGTCACAGTATATTTTTATAAGATTTAATATTTGAGCATATTTTTTTTTTTAAATTTAATGCAAAAATATCATAATATTTCTTGTCGATATTAAGAATTTCAAAAGTACAATATAAGAAAAAGATAAGATTTTGTATTGGATTTTAAAATTGCTTGATTTACAAAGCAAAATAAGGTTCTCACAGCAATCTGGTATACAAATTTGCATTCCGCAGGTGGGAACCCTATTCCATAATAAATACGTTATGATAATTAGACGACGCTATGATAATTAGATGGTAAAACAAATCGACTTCCAAAATTCCCATGGCGGTAACTATAGTTACTATGGTTCACTTCACACCCCTTCCAATGATATTTGTACACGACTCCACTTGTCCCCCTCTGTCAGCGATCTCGGCGCGTCGGGTTCTTTCCAATTATTCTCGGGCATTCCGTCGAGAACCGGACACGCACCTGTGCCACGGAAATGCGTAACGTACAGGTGCAGCCGCTGTAACGTACTCACGTTATCTCCGACGTTAGTGCGGAAGACCGGGCACCTTAAGGGGACGATTATATTCGGCGATTCATTCCGGCGCGCCGTGTCAAATACGCCAGATACCGGGGGTGTCAATTGAACCGGATGGAACAGTTTAACGTCTTTTAAAGACGGCAAGCGATTCAATTTATTTTACACCGCCCCTACACGTAACATAATCGCGCACCGTTCATGCACCGTCGTGTTGTTCGACGTCTCTATTTTTACGTTTAATCGACGATGATCGCATGTTGTCGATCGCGTATCCCGTATAACGCATCCTGTTACATTACATTTCAACTGGATATACAAATAAAACTTTTAGAATGATCTTAAAGATCGTGATCTTAAAATTATTTATTTGATCTCTCTCAAATTTTGAAATGATTATAGAAATCATAAAAAAATACATGTGTTAATGAAATATGTATTTGATTGCAGAATCGAACAGACGATTTAAGCTCGGAGGTGGGATGCGGAGTGAAATGTAAGATCGATCAGGTAAGAAGTCTCGCGTGTTTGATCTTGGAATTAAATTTATTTCGAATATACGCACAATTCTCTCGATTAAAATTCTATCCGAGTATAAATTTTACTCGTCCGTTGCTACCATATGATATAGTTCACATTGGTAGAACCAACGGATCTTTCACCAATAATATATATATTGACCTACAATTTGCACCTACAATTTGCACCTACAAATGCGTAAAAAATTAATAATAAGTAAAATGTTAGGAACCATGCAGATATAATTTTATCTGCTTGGCTGCTTCAAAGATTGGTGAACTTACCCCCTATTGGTAAAATCTAATCGTATGGAATACTATAACGAACCTCGCGCTCGCGCGCGCGTCGGACAACAATCGGTAGTCCTGGATATACGCGAATGACCGGTGCGGACGTCGGAGACGAAAATGAAGGGACGACAGTCCCTCGTTACAATGAAAGTACTTCCGCTAGTGTTCGAGGGGGCCCCGCCGTTCCTAACTCGCGGCGGCGGCGACGGCGGAGATGGTAAACGGCAAATAAAAAACAACAACGCGAAGCCGATGAATGGGGCGGACGCGCGTATGTACATACGTACGTACGAAACGTATTGCGCGCGTACGAATGAAAGAATGGCCATTCTCTCTCTTTCTTTCTCTCTCGCTCTCTCTAGTACGGCTTCGTGACTTTAAATTGGATCGCGTACAAGTGCGACCGATGGCGGATGTCGCCAAATTACCGTGCGACTCCGGATTCACTCTCTCGCGCTTCGTCTGTCTCGCTGTCGCATCTCTCCCGGTTTCCTCCCCGTCTAAAACGGAAGTGCAAATGAGAAAAAACGGGGAAATTTGGAGACGCATCTGACGCCGTGCGCGTGTCACAATTTCCTCATCGCATAGTGAGATGAATTCGTTGTCAACATTTATTCCGAATTTTAAAAAGAAATGAAAAACACCAGTAGAACTAAAATTAAAATTAATCGATGATAATGAAAACATCTGAAAAGTCAATAATAATAAATCTGATTAGAGGAGCATAATACCGATTTAATTATTGTGATACTTAAAATTTTATACTTTCCTTTTTACAAAGTAATAAAAAGTATTATCTGTTATATACTTTACACAGCATGTAAAATAATTATAAAATTATAAATTATAAAAATTGAAGAGATTTAAGAAACATCTTGTTATTACTGATTAAATCCAATATAATTAAAGACGTAATTATCTTCTTTTGCCTATTTAACCCGCTTTTTTAGATTTCCTTCTCACTTTCATTCTTAATGAAACAATCATTAGCTTATTCTTAGTATATAAAAATATAAATGCACATTCCAACGAGAGTGAAACATCGAAAGAACCCCCCTGAGCCGGAAGGATATCCAACAACGCGTGTCTCCAGGATAGGAAACGAGCAGAGCAATTAACCCCACGAAAATGACAAAAAGGATCCTGGCGTACCTAATTATCCCCGAAAAAAAAAAATGCGGTCGTCAATACGTCGAGCGATTCATGCTGCGCGAGGATATCACGCGCGGTTCGATGTTCGTTGCGTGCGTCGTGGAGCGGGACTTGGAAAGCGAATTACCGCGCGAATTGCGCTTAAAACGATTTCCTCCCTTGGCTCGTTTCACGGTTCGTAAATCGTCAGTAACGCGTACGAGTAACGGACAGGGCGACGTAGGTGGAGGAAGACGCTTCGCGATTCTAGCTGGACATTTACGCGCTTCGACACGAGACACGACCCACTTTTAGCCTTTAAATATTACACTCTTTTGCTTGAGAAAATGAGTTTGTATTGAATCTTCAATTTTACACGATAGAAATTTCCGACCTTTTAACTTGTATTCATCATTATTGAATCGTATCACTAATCTCATATTTCCTTTTTCATTTTTTTAGATCATTATAAAAATATCTAATTTAGCTTTTATATGCATTTAAAAGGGACAGAAAATATTTGTTACCAATTTATTTTTGAAAATTTTCTTGCATAATTAGTTTATCCAATTAATTAATATGAAAGATCAAGTATACCTTGCGTTTTCCATCGCTACCAACATTGGTGCATTACACAAACATCAGCGGATTGACTTCACGTCTCTTCCGGCAATTTCACAGGTCGATAACGATGGATTAATACTGCTGGAATTTCTTTTGTTCGCTGTCCTCTTATTTTTTTGGTTTGCTCTCGAAAATTAATGTAGCTCCCGGAAATATCCATCAAATAACTTCCGATCTCTACACAATTTTATCATGATTAATAAACTGCTCTTATACTGCTGTTATATCAATTAATATAAAAATTACTTTTTGCTGCAAATAGAAAAAAAAAAAATGAGTACCGAGATAAATTATATATATATTATAAATATTAAAAAATAGATACATATTAAAACTTTAATTAAAGATACCTAATTTTGTCTCTCTCTCTCTCTTTATCTTGCTTTCTCTTTCTCTTTTTGTATTCACTCCTTCCTGGTGAAGCATTTTCTACTTTATACATTGAGAGAAACATAAACCACGAACAAACGATGAACATTTGCTTCCTTGTGTCATATGCCAAGAATCCAGACAGTCGAGTGTTTATCTGACAATGAAGTAAAGTGGAGGACCACCGACAGCGAAGTATCTATACAAATGTCTCTGCTTAATAGTAACTACTGCCAGAAGCCACTTTGGCTTGTAAATTGCTGCTGTAAATGATAAAGATAAGATCCGTGTATTACGAAAGAAGGAAAATAAATCTTTTTAATGTTTAGATATTATTTGACAAAAAATTTTTCTCTAATTATTTTATATTACTATTTTTTAAAATTATTAATATCAGCATAAATATATTTATATCTAAAAAGATCGCGTTTTTAACAAATAAATATAAATATAACATATAATTGTTTACATTGTAGAATCTATTTTTTATTAGATATTCCGATTTAAAAAAAAGAGAAAGAATAATTAAAATTTAAATATTTTCTAATGATACGTATGTGGCACAAATATAGTAAAAAATTATACTTTACGCAGACAATATTAAACAGTCAATGCCAAGACCAAAAGTCGAATTTATTAACGTCAGAATCTACTAAAACATGACATTGCTAATCAGTTACTCATAAATTAGCAGCTCGTTATAAAGACATTACGAAGATAATTTAAGTCATCATATTCGTTAGAATTTTTTCCTTGCTTGTCTATGGTTGTGGAGCCAGACTGAAAGCAGTAAATGGGGTTAAAGCAAAACGAAGAGAGGACAGATAGATGTTCATCCGTGGTAGGATGAAGATCTACGATCTACGGGGAGCCGCGTGTGCGGAGGGACGACCCAGCTGGGGGCATAATACACGCTGAGGATTTAATGAGGAAGTGAGAAATTAGCGGCCGCTGTGCGGAGTTGCTCTCGGTTCAACCATTTTCAACTGTCTGATAGTTTTGTCAACCCTCATTGTAAACGACTAAAGCGTTTAAAAACTTATGTTTGATGAGGCGTGTCGAATTAAAGCACCCAGATGCGTTAAAACAAATTGAACATCAGGATACGAACATCCTTTATTCCGAAAAAATTGATATCTATGTTTCCTTTAAAGAGAGCAAAACTATAATATAATTTGCTAAAAATAAATCATGGATTAATCAAAATCATTAAAAAAGACGAAAAGTTGTAGGTCACCGTGGCTATAAACTAGATAAGTCATAAATCAACAGTTTTTTTAACACGTGGAGTAATCGTTGATAAAGAACTATTTTATGTTCTGCGTAGCTACTAATTAGAGAACGAGAGAGAGAGAGAGAGAGAGAGAGAGAGAGAGAGAAGAAAGAGAGAAAACCAAATTTCAATTCTAGATATATTCGAATATTTGTATTTAATTCAAATGAGCAAATATTTAAATATATATTCAAATATTCAAGATAAAACTTATTTTAAAAATTATCCGAATATTTCAAATCTTACGGAAACAACAACAAATCTGCACAGAAATTTGTTTTATTACTAGAAAATAAAATTAATAATTTTTTATTTTTAACATAACTCTGTAATTAATTTAAAAAATTATTAGTTAATTATGACAGGAAATTAATATATTTGAATGATATTACTGTATGATATTCACGTCGATGATTCGCCGTGATTGTCGTAGAGCTCCAGCGTTAAATGATTATTAATAACGTTTATCTGGCGCGAGAAGTCCCTTTACTTTCATGGATTTTTCAGACAAGTTGACCTATGTGATACCCTCGTATATGCCACCATACACACACGTGTTATTATGTGCGTATAATGCGCTGCGCATCTCGTAACGAGCTCGTGCTTGAAAGATTCGCATTTTTTTTTTTTTTTTAATACAAGTGCTTACGAAACAATTGCCTAAGGCCTAAAACATCTTTCTGTTATATAACTTGATATGTCTATTAAATGGATACATATTAGGAAAAGAAATAAAATATTGAAGATCTGTCTGTAAAATGTTGTGAAGATCTGTTAACAAGAATTATATGAAAAATATACAATATCTATACTTTTAGAAAAAAAAATGTTTAATTTTTTAGAATTTTAATTATTTAGCGCACGTTTTACAATTCGTTCAAAGAAAGTAGGTTTCTAATACGATGGCAATTTGCTTATTATTCCGCAATGTCGAGTGGAGTATTATTTATATATGGCGCCTCTCGAACACACTAACCAGAATGACAATCAATTTGTCAATTGCTAAATAGCTTCTCTTGTATATAACTCCGGACGTTGAAATAGACTTTCCACTATGCACTACTATAAAACTCCATTATACTTATTTATGATTAAGGCTAATGAAACTGTTACAATGAAGCAACATGAAAAAATGCGCAAAAATCAAGAAAATTCATTTTTTTTATTGCTTCTCGTAGAAAAAATATTACTTCGCTTGAAATTTATTTCAAGAATTATGAAATTAAACAATATAATTATCTCAATAAGTTGGAATACTTAAAAAAATAGCAGCGATAATTGAAATGTTCCAACTGTTTAAAGATCTATCAAAGTCTGCACTCGAGACACTCGAGGCACAAGTCGCTCCTGTATATTTATACTTCTAAATGCATTCGCGTGAATGCATTTTTTGTTCTGATGTTTTCTTTAAAAACTTAACGATATGTATATGTTTAGTAAATTGCGGAAGAAATTCTCTATTACAAAAAAAAAAATTAACGATAAAATTAGAATGATGAGATAGAAAATTATTTCTATTTGTCTGTGATTAATTACTTTTACCATAATTAATAATTATGTTCTTGCCGTTACATAACGCCATTATGCATAATAATTTCTAAAATACTAACTTTATATTTGAGAGAGAAATCTGCGGCTAAAAGAATTGTATTTCGCAAGGTAAACAAAGACATGTATTGGCGCAGTGGAAGCTGCGCTGTCCGTGTTCTCGACTACAGCTGGCTTGTTGTCGACGACAAATGCCCACATCCTCTCGCGCAGTAAGTTAATGCGTTAAACTTTAGTTCGCAAATCCATGCCCGACAAGCTGCCATGCAACGAGAGTCTTATGAACGTGGGCGTTACTTGAGGCACGTGCCACGCAGGCCGGGATCAGACACGATCACGAAAAATTATGGCTTTACCTCACGACGGCATAGAGTTATGTCACATCGCTCCAGATAACGTGACCCATTGTTCAACTACTTCCGGAATTGCATTTTAGCGCATAGAATGCCCAATGACCTTCGACGGAAGGTTGCATCATATAGACTATTTATTGCAAATCCGATATGTGAGACGTTCTATTGTTCGTCAGGAATACAAAATGTCCACATGAAACAATAATGTAGATAAGATTGTCATGAATGTAATTTGCAAAAAATTCTAATTAGAAATAACAGCATCAAAATTAGAAATAAATACTTGTAAAATATAAGCCGCATAATGCAACTTCAAAAAATTTTTTTTTGTTATGTTTGTTATATAAATTAGATATTGCGTTATAACATTAAGTTACATAAATATCTTACTTAAACTCATTATTAAAAAAATATAACTTACATTATATTAAGATAAAGTTTGTGTACATTGAAGAATATTTATCTCATTTAGAGCAAAATACTTTTTCTATATATTATCTACAAACTCTTTTTGGGATACGTAATTAACAAAACCTAGTCACACAAAAGCATCGATGTTATTCAAAACATTGCAAAAGGAAACTAACAACATAAAAAAATTATATTTTACTTTGCATTTATGTTGCGTTTTATAAGAAAAAAAATTAATTGTTTCTTCTTCTTAAATTTATTGCATTTAATTCAAAATTTTTATAAGATTAAAAAAGATCATTCGTCTTAGGAATATATGAAATTAAAATATTGCCGTTTTTTATCATTATGCTTATTTTTTCAGTGTACAAAAGGCTGTGAAGCATGGGAACGAGCGCTCGACACAAGCTGCCAAGCTGTTTGCGTTAGTATCGCTGCTACTTTTATTTTTATGACATTTATCGGACGAACTTACGTAAAAGTGCAGTATGTTCGTAATGTAATTTTTCGCACAATCTTTTACGTAACATCCTCCTAATTATCTAGTGAATAAATACATAATGTCAATCCAATGTATTGTTCGCAGAATGGAACGCAAGAATTACTACCGCCAAAGGAATTGTACTGCGTTTTGGGCTGCCACGACGCGTTAAATCGTTACTTCCAGCAGCTCAAAGGTATAATAGCATCTTTTGATATTGATTTGGAAATATATTTTTCATGAAAAAAATATTAAAATTTATGTACGTATAATAAAGATATTTAAATACTTTATATATCTCTCAATGATGAAAGATATTATCGGAGAAAAGAACATTTATTTCTTATAAACACAAAATAACATTATCTCGTTAAACTTACAGTTAAATCTCATACAGTTAAATATCACTATTGTGTACAATCATTTATAAACTTTTATAATGATAATGTATAATATTTAAATTTAGGGAATTTTTTTTTATTTTATCTCATCATTTATCTCTGTTACTACTATTTGTATTATTTTTCTTTTTTTTAACAAACTTAAAAAATATTGTTTATTTTGTGATTATTGTCATCATAAAATAATTAAAAGCTAAATATGAGATACAAACATCGTATAAATAACAATCTAAATATAATTTCTATATCAATCTCTTAATCTCAATCTCTTATTTTTTATATCAGTTTGTAATTGCCAGCGTTTTTCATCTCTAGAAATTTGCAAATTCCTTCCCATAGTGATCATAAGTGGCGATCTCAAGCGGTTCTTCATCATAATGATCAAAATTGCTTGTATCACCGTTCTGGGTGCAATGAGGAATAAAGCTCGGTTGCACTTTCTGATGATAGATCTCGATCCAATCGATAGATTGGAACCAGCGGTGTTTCTTGATGTCCATACTACCATCTTTTAAATTGCCGTATCTTCTTGTCAAATCCACTTGCAGAATGTGCTTCAATATGTCTCTTAGCTCCTCGCCAAAGTGATGCGCAAACTTGTACTTGCCCGCTACAATTTTCTCGTAGATCTTCATGGGTTCATGCGCATAGAATGGCGGATATCCCGCGTTCATCTCGTAGACTAGCACGCCAAAGCTCCACCAATCGACGGCCTTACCGTAACCCTTTGACAGAATTACTTCCGGCGCCAAATATTCCGGCGTGCCGCACAAGGTCCATGTGCGGCCGTCTACCATCTTGCAGAAACCAAAATCGGTTACCCTGATGTAACCGGTAGTTTCTATCAGGATATTCTCCGGCTTCAGATCTCGATAAATTAGGCTACAGTGATGCAGATACTCCAAGGCCAAGGCCACTTGAGCGGCATAGAATTTCGCCAATGACTCATCGAACTTCCCCATACGCCTGAGATGAGTGAACATTTCTCCGCCCTGCGCGAACGGCAACACCATATACACGTAAGAGTTGTCCTGAAACAGGGATTGAAATATAGCATGTTATCAGATGTGTTGATTTTATGAGAATATTTTGGGATATTTATTAAATATAACAAGAAACAATTTAATTTCTCTTTTAGAAAAAAATTTGCCGAAAGAGATCCATCTACCTAATATATTTTGTGTAGAAAAAAGTAGAGATTTAAAGTATCGATAGTATCGTTACTTCGGTTTTTGATCCTTGCCTTGAAACAGAACTCCATAAAAACCAAGAAGGGAAAGTTGATACATTGCAGGATTCGCTTCTCGTTATGCGTGTGATCTACTTGCTTCATCTTCACGAGTTTCGTTTTATCGAGAATCTTCATGGCGTAATACGAGGACGTTGGTTTATATTTGACGAGAAGAACGCGGCCAAAGGCACCAGTGCCGACGGTTCTGAAACGTTCAAAGTCCTCCAATTTCGCGTTATCGTCTACCTTTGTCCTCCACTTCTCCAGAAATGCCGTTCTCAGATTGTCTAAGATATCATTGTATTCCTTGAACATTTGATGTCTTTCAACGTCGGATATTCGTGCCATTTAAAATGCGTTTAATTCCTTAAACTTGAATGCTTTAAATTTAAAAGGTTAATATATCATGAGATGACATGATATTTTAATTGTTTTAAAAAATTGCTGTGTGCGACGGGATGTGGATCGTATGTTGTTTATTTATATGTATATATGTATGTACATATATATATAATGATGCATATGTGCATCATATTATATATTGCATTGGTATTATTTTGACTAAAAATGATGCTAATATAAAATTGTAAAAGATGTCATTTTTTTTACAAACAAAATTATTTTTGCCTCTTCCCTTATATTCTCCCCTTATTTCCTTATATTTATAGACATAAATAAAATTAAATTCGGTTAAATAAAATATGCATTAAATATTTATTGATATTTTTGTTATGGCATGAAACATTCTGTAAATCAAATGAAAAAATCATTTTACCAATAGCGGAAATCGGCACTCCACCGGCACCAGCATTGGTCGCGGATTCATTGACGGCGACCTCGCTCAGCCTCGAATGGAAAGGCGTAGGTAAACGTGCCGGAGGCATATCATACTTAGTGCAATGGAGATACGAAGAGCTAGCTGAGACATGGCAGTACTGCAGGAATCAATCATGGGGCGAAGGTGATCAAATACTAGTCGAAAACCTACAACCGTATACTAAATACAGGGTACGTAAGGACGAAAGAATCTCTCACATAGAGTTACATAAATATTTCATTAATCGTTTCTATCTCATTTTATTTATTCGACATATAAATATAAATACTCTTACTTATATTAATAAAATATAAAATGCACACTATATTAGCGTAAAATTTTTAAATAATATGCGTTAATTTAATCTCGATGTAGATCTTAGGTGGAATGTGCATTTAAAACTGTTGAATCGTTTCTTATACAATTTTCGATTAAAAAAAAAAAAAACACTGGCATTTACAGTTTCGCGTAGCACTGTTCCTGAAATCGTCGCAGCATAATCCGGAGCCGATCGTGTCAGCGCCGAGTGTGGTAATATTAACATGTCCGGCCGGTTTACCTACATCAACACCGGTAATTGTAAGAACGGCGGCGGTAGACAGTTACCGCGTATCTGTATCTTGGGAACCGGGCCCATTCTCGAACGGGCCACTTTTGTCCTATGTCCTGCGTCTGCAAGGGGCTGAACATTCCCAGCTTAAGGTACACGCCACGCCAGAACCATATACAGACATGCGTGTCCAATTACTCACACCGAAGTGTCTCTCGCATACTTCTGTATGCACAAGCCTTTTTTTCTTCTCTCTCAACTGCACTCTTATATCTCCGTATATTCGCGCAAGACGCGTCGTTACGCTTTTCTATACTATTTATTAACTATTGTCTATATATAGAAATGTAATGTGTGCAACTGGTTCTGCAAGGTACATTCCGTTATCCCGTTTGAGAAGAATTCATTGACGAGCAACCGCGTTAAGTTTTATATGGCGACGTTAAATATACTTGTCATGTTATCCAATGATAACGGTAAATCTTCCCTCTGCATTTAATTTACGAAAATTATAAAATCTTTAATAATCTTAATTAATATATTCCCTGTTAGTTTTTATTATTATATTAGCTTTTTTATTAAAATCATGAATATATTAAGAATTAAAGATCGTCAATGAGTTTCTTATTTTATATTTATTCGCTTTTTAAGTTGCGTACTAATATTAATTTGAAGAGAATGCACGCTTTGAAGCATGGCCGCTTTTTTGAAACGTTAATATTAACAATATTAGACATTATTACTATTGCATTTTTATTAATTACATTATCCAAAACCCCGTTAATATTAAATTTAACAACTTGTACGAACCAGATCATCTGCAAAATAAGTTTCTGGCATGGCGTTTTTTTCTCCTAATTGCATATTTATTTCCTAGCGAGGGATTCACGGTGGGATGATTACGAGTTATAAAAAATATACGTTATATTTTATCAACAGGATATTCCAGCCACCGGGGATTCCAATCACTACATGTTTCAAAATCTCGAACCTAATCAGAATTATTCTGTCAGTGTGACTATGAGAAATGGAGTTGGCGAGGGTCCACCTGCAATAATTTATATCTCTACGACTCGAGAACCTACTGGTACGTTACGAAGAGTAATATATATTTACATTAGCATTAACAAAAATGCAAACATTACACAAATCTATCTGTCTTCCAGAGTATTTTAATTAATTTTATTATTTCAAAGAATCAAATCCGTTCGGCTGCCGATTCTCAGATTTTATAATTCATATCTATATCAATAAACTTGAAATTTAAATTTACAAATAATTAATTAAAAACAATTTTTTTAGTCAAAGATACGCAACAGCCGATTCTCATCCTCGGTGGCGAGCATGTGGTCATGATGCAAGGCGCCGATATGTTGGACGAGCCCAGCATCGTTTACGAGACCGAGAGTGAGATCCGCGGAGTGGCAATACACGTGGCATCCGCTCAATTATTCGTTTCCACTTCGATGGGTTACGTGTATCGTACCTCGATTATCGAGCGATCGGAAGCGGAAGCCATTCTGAATCCTGATCGAATGCACTTCAAACCATTAAGTCTTTCCGTCGATTGGCTGAATCTTCACTTATACATATTGGGAGAGGTAAAACACGCGACCACAGTATGGCAAATAGCCAGATGCAATTTGGATGGCAAAAGTTTGACAGTAGCTATGGCTGGATTCTTGACCCGACCATTGCATATCGAAGTCGATCCTTACAATGGGTACATCTTTTGGGTCACTAAAGCAGGATTGTTTAGATTAGATCTGGCCGATATCAGCAACGGTGTGAAACACGAGGTATAAGTTCCTTTCTTTTTTTATAATTTTATATTACTAAAACTTTTATTTTTAGCGTTATACTAACAAATGCAAAATTTTTAGACGTACATATTAATAGGATGTGTATAATGTAATCATTTTAATATGCTGTTGATATTAACGTATATATTACTTTCTTTAAATAAAATAATTTTTTAAAAGACATTTATTATCAAAACATTCATATATAAAAATTTAATTATTTTTTTAAGAATCGGAATGTTATTTTATTATTTTAGGTTCAACCATACTTAATTCTTGAGGATGCAAATTTGGGGGCTTTCACGGTAGACCATATGAATTTTCGATTACTTGTTCCTCATCACACTAAAAATACAGTGCTATCGGTGACACTGGATGGTCGTGAAATTTTTGATCTGCGCTCCAATACACAAAAACCCAAATTCAATAACGTTGTTTCTTTAGCTATGGCAAATGGTTTATTTTATTGGACTAATGGTGAAGATGTTCTTACCGAAGGCTATCATCAAAAGCAAAATAGATATTTTCACAATTCCTATCTTGACAGGTATTCTTATATTTAAAAAAAAATTTTATTTCTACATTTGGCTTTAAACACTAATTATCATTATTTTTTGTATATGTATATAATCAAGTTTGAATGCAGTGATTAAATATACATAATAATGCTATAAATTCTAAAAGAAAATAATTTGTTTTATAAACAATAAAGCAATGAATCTTTGTTTAAAAAAAAGATGGTTCTTATGCTAAACCGTTATCTGCTTACGATATCTTCGAGATACGGTCGCGTGGAGTTCACTTGACGGAACTATTCCCACTGTTAACGCGATATAATAATAATAATATAACTTTATTGAACACACAGTAGAATATACTGTATCTGTACATTTGGCAGTCATTTTCTCGGCACTTTAAAAAGAAAAGCTTATAAAGATATTGTTAAACATATTAATAAAATAAAAAGCGTTTAACATAAGATTCTTCTTTCTGATTCTTTGACTTTAAAACTCATTTTATATATTTTGGAGCTATATCTTATTACTTGATATTATTTTAATATTTATTAGTAAAAATTATAAATAATTTTTGCAATAAGAAATTAAATTAAACCTACATTAATAGCGCGAACGAATAAATATTCTCGTCTTCAGGCCCGACACTTTCTTCGTCAGTGTGAACGTATTGATGAATGCAAGCCAACCCGTTTCCACCCCAATAAATCCACCTACAGGAGTACAAGCTGTCCTAGGGGCGGAAAGAGCAAAGGTCTCCTGGCAAGCTCCTCATTTACTAGGTTATCAAGGCAAGGGCGCTTGGCAAGACTGGTCATATGAGCTTGAAATCATAGACGAATCGACTGGCGAAACTATTCATCAGAAAGATATAGTTGGACTGTCACATACTGTCTACAATTTGCGAGAAAAGTCGGAATATTCGATCAAAGCTGCGGCATATACGAAAGCTGGTAGAGGACCATGGTCCGCGGAGTTCCGCGGGCGAACTTTAAGGTAATATTAATTAATAACTTTATTAAGCTAAATATATATAATATTATAATAAATATAACAGATATTTTTTTATATTGAGTTTTGGATGTTTTCCTTTTTTCTCCTTTTTCTTTCTCTCTACGTGTTCTTTATCTGTTTTTCTAATTTTTTTGTTAGAGTTTTATATACATATGAGGTTTTCGAAAACATGCCTCTTTTGCATTTATGCTGATTCTTCCCGTAAATTATTTATCAAATTAAATTATACATTTAGGAATGGTTCGCGCGCGTCTATCTTGTGGTCGTCGAACGAGGAACTTTTGAGGAGTGACGTAACTGGAGAAAATATAAATACGCTCGTTTCTAAGCCAGATATGAAGGATTCCGACAGCGAATTTCATATCGTCGACGTTAGTTGGTACAAGGATGTACTGTACATAGTAGGAAATAATTCCGCGTTATATCATTATAACGTTAGCGACCATCAGAAGAAGAAGCTTAACAATCATTCGGTGGGAAGTGTTGCCGTGGACTGGTTATCAAAGAAGCTGTATTGGGCGAATCCAAAGCAACAGATAGTAAATATAATTAAATGTATTTTAACTTTAAAGCAAATTAGAGTACGCAAGTGCAAAACGCAATTTTTTACATGAATATTATTATAATTTTGACAGCAATGTTTTTGAAATATCTCGATATCTAGATTGTAAACTTTTACAATTGATATTTAATATTTCCGATGGCTGTAAGATTTTTGCAGGGTTGGGAAAGTTACTTTATAAAAGTAACTCGTTACCGTTATCGTTCTTTTTTCTAAAAAGTAACTCGTTACCGTTACTCGTTACCAATTTTAAAAAGTAACTTGTTACCGTTACCGTTACTCAAAAAATAACGAGTCGTTACAATTTCCGTTAGTTTTTTTTTATATAACAATAACTTTACATACAATTTTTTTTAATACAAGATCAAATTAAACACTAAAAATTTTTAAACATTGTCTTACAAAGAAACAAGATACCAAAATGAGTTTTCAGTAGTTTTCATGTAATGCTGCATTCCAACACTCTTATCAATATTTTCCTTTGTATGAAAATTATACCGAGTAAATTAAAAAAAGTAACGATAAAAGTAACTGTTAAATTCGTTACTCGTTACCGAAAAATGTAACGAAGTTACTTTTTCCGTTACAAACAAAATTTGTAACGCCGTTACCGTTACAGTTACCGAAAAAAAGTAACTGTAACGGTAACGGCGTTACAAGTAACGCGTTACTTCCCAACCCTGGGTTTTTGTTAAAGTAATGTCAAAAATATCCTCTACTTGATTTCAAAAATATACTATATAATATTATCTTGACTTTATAGATAACAAGAGCAAACTTGGATGGATCTCAACAAGAGCCGATGTCTATCATAGCAATTGTGAAAGAACTCATGATCGACTCTCTAGAAGCATATTTATATTGGTCTACTGGTCACGCTGTGGAAGTTGTACGATTAAATGGACAGAACAAGAGGTACTATCATTCGGACGAAATTTTTAATGGCAAACAAGTGATGGGATTGACGCTCGACACCGAAAATAGATACGTCTATTGGATCGTTCGAAGCTACGAAAGTGGATCCATCGTTTATCGAGCACCTACATCCGAAAGAATTCCAATGAATCAGAAAATCGTTCCGGAAAAGGTTTCTTTGTGTATCTAATTAATTTTTATATTTAGATCATTATTATTTTTAATAATAATATTATAATTTCTAATAATAGAATATTATTATTTCTAATAAAAATAAAATTTATCGAGCACGATAAAATTATAAATGCCGCTAATACAATTTTAATTTTATCAAATAATGTATAATCAATATATAAATAAATGAATTAAAATAAAATATAACAATATATGTAAACAATAAATTTTTATTTCAAGGTTTCTGCTTTGAAAGATCCAAATGTGCAAGGACCTTTATGTTATTTCTCTGAACACCTGCTGTGGCTGCAGGATGGTACGAATGCGGTAATCGGCGATCTCTCCGGTCAGAACACCGCCGTGATCAATGGAATCACTTTGTCCGGCTTACACATGGTGGCCGTCATGGATCCCGCACTTCATCAGTACCCAAAAAATTTAACATCGGAAACCGTAAAGGTTTCGCCAGACGCTGTCGACTTTAATAGTATAAGAGTCGAAGGAACTTGGAGAAATTTTAACATATCATGGGATCCAGTGAAAAATGTTAATTATGGCACGGTTTTCTACGAAGTAAAGTTCGCGGATTACATTAATACAAATTCGAACCCGGAAATCACGATCGAAACGACAATACCGTACAACAACTCGGACCAGATCCTCCCTTATTCCGTCCTAGAGGTTACTGTAAAAGCTTTTACTTACTGGGAAACGGCGCATAATTCGCGAAAAATTTTGAAATCGCCACAGAGCGTGCCGACTCAGCCGACGTTTCCTAGGGCGTTCGTGGACAAAGAATTCCGCCATGAGTTCATAACGGACGATCGTCTTGTGATATTCAGGTGAAGAATCTAAAATCTTGCACTCTCATTTTTTCTTACATTTAATGACATATATATATAAGATCTGAGTTTTTTTTTATTATAAGCAATAATGTTAAAATATCTCTTATTCTCTTTATAGATGGAATCAACCTCAGTTTACAAACGGAATTATTCAAGGATACATGGTACAGTGTTCGTTTATTGAGGACGAGAAAGAAATTGAAATCTGCAACGATCAAAGCATCCCAGCTTCGACATTGGAGTACACAATACGAAATCTAAGACGCAACATGACATATTACTTTCGAGTACGAGCACATACCAAAATTGGTGCCGGTCCTTACACGGATTTAATCAACGTGTCGACTACGTACGAGAATCCGGTGCCCCAATTATTGGTTGCTACCGCGGATGCTGTGAAAATATCCGATTTGGATCGAGAGACCAATAACTCGCTCACCAGACATAGCGCAACAGACGTCAATTACCTGGAAATTGAAAACAAAATTTATTGGATTAGTGAGATGCAAGAGTTAGTGACGTCAGAGATCAACGGAACCAATGTCACAAAAATACTTGCCTTGAAAAATAGCGCACACAGCCTCTGCATCGACTGGATAGCAAGAAATCTGTATTGGACGGAATACGAATATAACAGTACCAATCCATGGGAAAGCAGCGGTTACATTATGAAACTGGACTTAATAATGTGGAAAGCTGGTGAAGTTAAATACAATAATATCGTAAGGAGAGGAAGATACATTCCTGTTTTAGATGTAGTGCCATCTTTGGGGTACGCCGATTTTTATTTGTTTGAAATATAATATTAATTTTATTTTTATTTCTTTTAAGTATTTATACATATTATATTATTATTTTTTTTTTTTGCAACTAATATCATAAATTATGTAATCACAAAACATTTTGCACACAAAATTATAAAAAATTGTAAAGTTACAGAATTTTGTTATTTCGTTCAAATAATATTATAAAATCATTAAAATATAATGCATATATATTTTTAGATCTTTATACTGGATTGAAGCAACAAATGACCGAGGTATAATAATGCAATCGGATCTCGACGGGAGAAATGTGCAACCATTTTTCAAAAATATAAATAATACATGTACCTGCCCGTCTAGTTCGGTAATGCCCATGATGACGGTTGATAAAACTAATATGCAGAAACCGGTGATATACTGGATATCGATGGAGGGACATTTAAACGTAGCTGACATTCATGGTTGCATGTGCAATGTCATATTAAGTGTAGGTTTCAAAACAGCGACTCTCACGTCTCTTACGGTTGACAAGATGAACATTTACTGGTCCAATGTAACGGAAAATCGAATCTATTGCATAAAAAAAGAATATCCTTTCCGTGTGAGCAAGGAAAACATGTCCAAACCGGAACTGAAGAGTCTCTATCTGCCTAATGTACGTCACATCACAGCCTTCGGCAAATCCCTGCAAGCTTATCCTACGACGAAATGTCTGATACCTCGCCGAAAAGCTTACACTATCGAGCGAGTAAAGGCAACAGAGAATAGTATCGTCATTAATCTCCCGGAGATGAGCTCCGAGGTCGGTTGCGAGAAATACAGTCTACCCAGCACGCTGTACATTATCCACGTGCTCCACTGTTTGAAGGAGTGCGAAGGTTTCGAGCTGCAGACATACAAGCGACATTACGAGATTCAGAATCTAAAGCCGTTCACGGAATACAAGCTGCAGTTGACGCTGAGCAATGTTTACATCAAACAATTTAAACTGTCTACCTTATCAGGCCAGGATGTGATCCTGATGACTAGTCCAGGCAAACCCAACGCACCGGAAAACTTTACGGTTCAAGCGCTGACGCCAACCCTTGCGGCGGTTTATTGGATGCCGCCTAAGGTATTGAATTGTGCGGCTGTGCACTACGAGGTGCACTGGAGATCGCTTCTCTCGGTAAACGGGGTCCGACAGAAGGGCGAACAGCTGATCAAGGAGCTCGAGCGCACGGAAGATGGCAAGTTCTTTACGATATTGAAGCCGTTTCTGCCAGGCCAGGATTATCTGGTATATGTGCGTGTGTATCCCGTCAACTTCAGCGATTTGTACAATGAAACTCTTACGAAAACTATTCACATGTACTCGGAACCGAACAATTTAACTGTGAGCGGAATCAGCATGAACAGTATAAACATCTCTTGGATCCTGAGCGACAATCTGACGATCGATTACAGGCTGGAGTACAAGGATGTTGCGATGGACACGTGGCAAATCGCAGACAGTTTTGAGGTGAAACAGTACAATATAACATATCATATAAAAGATTTACAACCGCGTACGTTGTATAGATTTCGCCTGATACTGAGATACCCCGCGTACAAGGAGGACTTTATATGGCCATCTGATGGGAGATTTACATTTCAAACGCTAGGTAAGTAAATAAAGATAAAGACATAAAATGAGATATTTAACATGCTTATAGATATAAAAATATCTTATAGATTTGCTATAGAAGAAGCTAATAATAAAGCTTCAAATAGAAATATAAATATATTAAAATAAAATAAAGAAATATTATTTATATTTTTCTTTTATAATAAAGGGGATGTCCCGAGCGCTCCTGGAAAACCTACGGTAACAAGACTTCGAAATTTGGTTTACCAATTAAATTGGGAACCTGCACAAGCTCACGGTTCACAAATAACTTTGTATCGATTGGAAGGCTTAATCACTGACGACAATAACAAACAAGATAACGAAGCCGGTGAGAATGAGCACTGGAATTTATATTATAACGGAACGGACAGTTACTGGATAATTACCGGGGATATGGATCAGAAATATATAAAATTTCGTGTGCGAGCTAAAAATGCATATGGTTTCGGCGCTTGGAGTGAATCAAGCTCGATCATTGATCTAACAGAATCTACCGGAGGATTAATAAATATAACTACACAACCACACTTACCGTTAATGTTAGGCCTCATCGTGATCGTTATCATAATGCTGGCCTGTTTCTGCTATTTTTTCTGCCGTAAGTATATTTAATAGCTCGAGTTTGTAATTGTAAATTAATTCAGATAAAATACAATATATGGAATTTTTGAAAACAAATGTTGTTGATAGAAAACAATTTATATATATTGTGTGTGTGTGTGTGTGTGTGTGTGTGTGTGTGTGTGTGTGTGTGTGTGTGTGTGTGTGTGTGTGTGTGTGTGTGTGTGTGTGTGTGTGTGTGTGTGTGTGTGTGTGTGTGTGTGTGTGTGTGTGTGTGTGTGTGTGTGTGTGTGTGTGTGTGTGTGTGTGTGTGTGTGTGTGTGTGTGTGTGTGTGTGTGTGTGTGTGTGTGTGTGTGTGTGTGTGTGTGTGTGTGTGTGTGTGTGTGTGTGTGTGTGTGTGTGTGTGTGTGTGTGTGTGTGTGTGTGTGTGTGTGTGTGTGTGTGTGTGTGTGTGTGTGTGTGTGTGTGTGTGTGTGTGTGTGTGTGTGTGTGTGTGTGTGTGTGTGTGTGTGTGTGTGTGTGTGTGTGTGTGTGCGTGTGTGTGCGTGTGTGTGTGTGTGTGTGTGTGTGTGTATTTTGGCAACGTGATATTAGACAAATGTATCATATCGTTATCCAGCAGTTTACCGACAACGCAAAGAAGATAAAAAGGCAGTTTTACCTCCGATAATATCCGATGTCGAATTAGCAACTCTTCGCGAAATACCTCGCGGGAACTTCGTTCAATCCAACGCATTATATGCTTCTACATTGCAAAATGATCCAGATGATTCTGCATTGCCTAAAATCAAACAAGAACAAATTACATTAGCAAAATTTTTAGGCAGTGGTGCATTCGGAAAGGTAAAATTTAATTTTCAACACTCCCTCTACACAATATATTTTTATTATAATATATATGAAATTTATATTATTATATATAAATGTATAAAATTTGCATTTTAAAGTAATTCTGAATATTTTGCAGGTATTTCAGGGAAATGCCAAGGATTTAGAACGACCGGGCATAACGCCCGTCGCCATAAAGATGCTGCGAAAGGATGCTTCTTCGCAAGAGAAGACGGAATTTTTGCAAGAAGCGAGACTTATGAGTCATTTTCGACATAAGCATGTATTAAGACTGCTAGGTGTTTGTTTGGATACTGATCCTCCCTTACTCGTGTTGGAATTAATGGAAGCTGGTGATCTACTGAGTTATTTGAGAGAGAGTCGATCCTTGCAACCAACAGATTCGCACGCTCTGCGTCTACAAGATTTGCTCGCCATGTGCGAAGACGTTGCGCGAGGCTGTCGTTATCTAGAGGAGTTGCATTTCGTGCACAGAGATCTCGCATGTAGGAATTGTTTGGTGTCAGCGAGGGATCGCGAGAATCGTGTCGTGAAAATTGGTGACTTCGGATTAGCTAGAGATATTTACAAGAACGATTATTACCGCAAGGTAAATGCAACATTTTTTGAAAATTTTACAAACTATTCATCTATACTTTTACATAAAAATATATAAACTAAAACGGTTTTAGCACGCATGTGCATGCTTGTTAAAAAAATTAAAAGTAACTTGGGCGAAAGAGTTAATTGGCAAAAATCATGCTTTAGGAAGGAGAAGGCCTGTTACCTGTTCGCTGGATGGCACCGGAATCCTTGGTGGACGGAATATTTACTTCACAGAGTGACGTTTGGGCATTCGGCGTGCTAATATGGGAAATTACGTCGTTGGGTCAGCAACCCTATCCTGCCAGGACCAATCTCGAAGTGTTACATTACGTACGTGCGGGCGGAAGGCTGCCGAAACCCCTCAACTGTCCACCGACGTTGCATCAATTGATGATGCGTTGCTGGAGCGCAGCGGATGCTAGACCAAGCTTTAAGATTTGTCTAGAAAACATTGTCGCGTTGAGAAGCAATATAGAAGACGCAATATTAAGCCCAGTGCATACTGGACATTATTTGACCCGCAGAGGTAAATTAACATTAATCCTTTTTCATTTCATACTCATATCACTGCATGAAGCAATTAATTTTTGCAAATCGACAGAATGTTGACTGACAATACGCAAGTTTTTTTTTACTCGCACCTGCATTACATAAAATATTTAATGCGTCCATGAATCATTCGTTTTGCTATTATAATGTGGTTACATATATCATTACATACAATGTGAAAGTTGAGTTTCTTCAAAATTATAGACATGAGAAATGTTACAATGAATGAAAGCAAAGCACATATAGGCATATAATATTTTATAACGCATACAATAGCTTACAAATTATAAATAGTTGACTACAAGGAAATATTTTTTACAAATTAAATATTGAAAATGCAAATTGATAACAAAACTTATTTTTCAATTAATTTTAATTATACATCATTTGAAAAATATAAGCATGTTTCTCATTCATTCATGTAACTCGACATTATCAGATCACATGTAACAGAATATTTTTATCATGTGCTTCTTTAATCCTTAAATGTACTGGAATATTACTGTTTGCTTAAATTCATATTTATCATTGCATGGCTCGTGCTTGCAGGCGTGTCTAACATGGCTTACTTTGCTGACAAGAATCAAAATCATAACAATTCAGGTAGGTTTTAATAAACATCATCTGCCTCTGTCATTCTACGGTAAAAAGAAATATATTTTCATTTTTCACAAGCTCGTATTCTTCCTGTCATAATTAATTTATATGCATAATTTGCAAAATAATATATACCCAGCAAACACAGAATATAACTGTTATATAACATGGGAATAACATGTAATGTAACAGTTGTTATACCTAATTTATATTGGGATTATATAACTGTCTTTTATTTATGCAATATAACATCAGAATATAACTGCTATGTAACATGGGAGTAACATGTAATGTAACAGTTGTTATACCTTATTTATATTGGGATTATATAACTGTCTTTTATTTATGCAATATAACATCAGAATATAACTGCTATGTAACATGGGAGTATGTAGTGTAACTGCCCAAGTAACAGAGTAACGTCAAAAGACGACATAATGACGTCTATTTTCGGTCTATAATGTCGGCGACTAATAATTGACGTTTAAAAGACCTCATTTCTTAGACTAGCTAAAGACGTAATTTTGAAAACGTCCTATGATCGCCCAAATAAAGTTCTTTTGTAACTAATATTGGGATTATAGTTCATTTTTACATGTAACAAATACGTTATATTACTTGTTACAAGTACGTTTTATTATGGCAATGTTACAGTTATGTATCTGTGTTTGCTGGGTAACATATAATTATATAACATATAAATAACATATGCATAAGATACAAAATCATGTCAAGATTTAAAGAATTATTTTGTTTCTTTATAAAAAAATATATTTTTCTGAAAATTTCACAATTCATAAGATTTCCTAATATACTTTACTATAAATTATAATCGATATTCTGTATAGGAAACTCCTGGAAATCTAGCAGCTCTGAGGGAAGCCGAGATATACAACCTTTTCTCCAAAACTCGAACTATGCCATGCTCAACCCGCAATCCGGTGAGATTCCGAAGTATCTAGAATTATTAGCAGATAACGAGGATGTCGTCTCAAAAGAAAATCCTCTGAGTGGTTACGAAGTACCTCGTTCGAGTCACATCTCGGATCAAAATTTGGCAAATATAAGCAGGATTAATTGCACGAATCAAGATCGTAAATGCAGTTTACCCACCGAGATCACACAGGAACATAAGGAACATTCCACGGGAGAACGAAAGCAATCTGATGGAAAATTATACGAAAAGAGATCATCGATCACTAGTCTGAATTTGCCAGATCGAAAGGGTGCGTCGATTTCGGGGATACCAAAAAAATACAACACGTTGGACAACTCTAAATCGGTGAGCTCAGTTGCAAAGACGGCACCGAAAGGGGACTCCTTCTCGTCCTTAAACGGACGAAAATACAGGATTAACTTGAGCGAGCGAAGGGATTCTGAGACGAGTATCGAGGGTAGAAGCTCTAGCTCGCACAGCTTGGCGCCTTCTACACGTCCCAGTTCGTCTTTGATCAGTTCGCAGACGGTCCTTCCATGCCTGAAGATCAATGTCCTCGCGAACGTTGCAGGAAACGGAGAAATGCCTTCGAACGAGAGCGCGGTGACAAAGTGTACGTTACCAAAGATCCAAAAGACTCACTCCAACTTGCAGAATGGCAAGGCAAATATACCGCTCATGATAAATAGCGCGTTGTTTAATATGCTGCGACAGACGCCTGTAGTTGAGGAGGGCAATAACATTGTCACGTATACAAATATAAATACGGACGCTGTCAGAGTGAATGGATCGTGAATCGCTGACCGTAGCGGATCTAAAAATAAGATTCCTATGAATTATATATTTTTGAGTTTACGAGTGACGTAAGTCGATAATTAATTAATGTTCTGAGTTACACTCGCGAGTAGATCTATAAGACTTGGGACAACAAATAATTACATGACAATAAATTTCTAGACCATTGCGAGGTACTATTTTTCGTGACATTTCTTCTTTGTGATTGCTATGGTAGGCCTATTTTATTAAGGCCTACTCAGGATTTGTTTTATTAATTTGTTGAAAGATATAACTAATACAATTTTGCTCAAAAATTTTTCCTTTCTTTTATCTTAGCATGGTGCCTTAAATATATATCAAATAATGCACATTCAACAGATTAAAAAACCAAGCATGTTATGTGTAAAGAAAATGAAAAGTTGCGAAGGGCGGAGTTAAATAGCTTTAAACTGCCATTATAATGTACATATATATATATAAACTTTTATACTCAAAAAGTTATGCAACTTATGGCAGATCGTTTTGTGACATATAGATATTGTGCGATTTCAGTAATATAATCGCGAACCTGTTATTTAATATAAGAATGATATAGTAATGAAGAATGATAAATGTGAAGTACAGTTTAATTTAATAATCACTACATTTCAAATAACATATTTATTGAATAACTTACGAAATTTCTCACTGTTCATTGTACAAATTTCACATTTGATAATTATTAAAGAATAATATGGAAAGCTATATAAGAAATTGTTAAGTTTTCTATATAGTTTTAATAATATAAAAGTGTACGTGTGTATAATCTTTTACTTTAAAAAGATAAGTTTTTGAATGTATAAAATCTTGTGAAATTTATGCCAATGGACTAATGATTATGTTTGAGGTTTGTAATTTCAAGTTGCTTTATATACTTATATAATTAAAAATTGTAAATATATAAATATATATAAAAGTGAGTTTTAATTAATTCAACAAAAATTATCTACAAAATATATTCTTTTTCTTTAAATTCCTTTAAAATATTTCTAAAACAATCACAGCAAAATGCAAAAAAGAAAAATGAGTTACTACTAAATTTTGTATTTTTAATATATTTTTCAGGAACCTTCAAGAGCTATTATCTTACATCTTCAATGTATATAACATTTAATATGCATAAAAGAATCTCCAAGAATCCAAAAACTTGGGGCTTTGTATCTATACACGTACTTTCTTCTCATAGATATTTTGTCCTCTTGATTCTCTAGATAAATCAATTTGATTTATGTATCAGTCTTCATACATATTCATTGGACATTTTTCTCTATTAGAAATAGATCCTGAAAAATAAAGAACACACAGATGTATTTTAGTTTGTTTAAATAGCAAAAATATGTTGTCATATAAGAATAAACGTAAGAAGAAAAGAGAAATCATTACTAATTTAAAATCTGAATCTCGTTACATTTTGTCATTTATGATGGAAAAGTCAGGCATTTTATTCCTCTTTTTTTTTTCGTTTTTTCCATAAAGTAATGTCTCAAATAACTTCAAATTTTAATGTTGCCTAATTGAATTTACAATATTATGCACTTTATCTTATATAAATATAAATATAATAAATATAACACACTATAGAATAGTAAAATTATTTACCTAAGTTTCATTTGTAAGAGGTACATCATCATCCAAGGAATCATCTTTACTATGTTCATGCAACAGAACATATTCTCTGGTACTGAAGCCAAATCGTACTACGTCTTTTTCCAACAATTCATGATATCTTTTTGGTTCTAACTTTACATTATTTACAAATGTTCCGTTAGCTGATTCTAAATCAATAATATATGGCCGTATTCTTCTACCTTCGATGCCTCCTTCTTTTTGATAGGAAACTAAACGATATTGTAGAGCGGCATGTTGTTTGGAACACGAGGGATGATCTAAGGGTATATCGGCTACTTTACGATCTCTACCCATAAGATATGCTGACTGTCGATGAATGTATAATGTAGGCAATGCTTTCTCGCCTTTGAAGGGGTACAGTCTCCATCTCCGTTTGGGTTTCTTGGCATCTTGCGGCTCAGAATATTTTATAACTACTCCATTAACAGTATTCATGTCCTCTGTTAATTTTCCTGATACTTCAAAGTTGGGCTTTTCTTTTTCAGTATTTACGTTCGATTTTCCCCACTCAACAGAAGATTCTCTTTTAATTTTTATATCTTCTGAGCTTCTCTTTTGCTTGTGTTGATCATTACGTCTTCTTCCAATGTCATCCCTTCTATCTCTACTCCTACTCCTTTCATTACGTTCTCTGTGTCTAGAATGACTATTCTCTCTTCTTGCTGGCGATCTTTCATATTTTTTCTTTCCATTCTGCTTCTCATCGTCCCTTTTCGAGTGATCGCGTCTACTACCTCTGTGATCTCTGTCTCTGCTCCTGTCCCTTTGCGATCTGTCTCTGTGAGAATCGTTACTCTTCTCACATCTGTCCTCTCTGTTATTTTTATACATATCTCTTCGCTCTGCACCGTTGCTGTGACTTGGCCGCCAATTTGACATAGTTTCCAAGTTTATTTAGAATAAATAAAAAATTGGTGACAATCGTCAATATCGACAATATAACCTAATCTGACCACAAAACTGTTCGGTTACAATGGCTAAAACAAAATTGTGGCAAATCGCGATGTTACATATTACACATGCATAAAGACTACGACGAAATCAATGGCGCACAAATATTTTTGTTACTGTATATATTTCCGAGAAGAATAATCCAGAATGATCTAACGATTCTGTACTGCGCCCATAGACATAGGCTGCGGTCAGTGATGCCAGAATTGAGACGCGAGCACATGCAACCGAGGTGGAGGGGATAACACACACAAGCGCAAACAGCGTACGTGTGAGCTCGGCGCTTCGGCTAGCTTCGGATAACAGAAGAGGACAGATATACTGTTTTCTGTCTCTCTTCTTCCTATCGAGCCGGCAACTATAGCGACGGGCGTACGGGCGACAGGGACGGGCGACGAGCGACGGGCGACGGGCGACGAGCGACGGGCGACGGGCGATGTTGCTCGTTTCTCGATTCTTGATGCATGACAGCGTTAAATGTTCTTTTTACAGCCTATTAATGTGTTATATATTAAATGTTTTCTTTCAACCTTCTTCTTTAATAAAGTAAAATGTTTAGAACAGTAAATGTATTCATATCGGAGATAGTTATTCTACTAACGGAAATAAATGATATATGTTTTTGATTTAATGAGTATGACTAACATATTTATTTAACATATGTTCTCTAGATGGGAGAAGAAGACAAGGAATTTGCAGATAGCAGAACGAAATGCAATGATACATGAAAAATGCTCCAGTGATTTGCACTCGTGGGCGAAGTGCAAGACACTTACGGAGAAACAAAGTGATCGATTGAAAGCATTGCTCGATGCTTTGAAACACCAGGAGAAAGAGCAAGTCGATTTTGCAAACGTTATCATATCACGTGTCTTGTGCGTATCGTGGAAAAGCTCTATAAAGGGAAGCATATTTCTGCCGCAAATGGCAGCATACATTCTTGTCAATTACCGATGATACCAATACCAAGCGACAACTCATCAGAACCGAAAAGTTTTACTTATTTATTAGATTGTTATTCAAGAATTGCAATTGAAGAAAGAAATCATGGAAAGGTACGCACATACACTCACACATATCTTCAAAATTGGACAAGATTTTATTAAACTAATTCTTTTTTTATATATTTTATAGCAATCCAGTGTACCTCCTCTTTCCGATATACTGACAAGTTTGAAAGCGCAATGTATTCAGTATTCCAGCCTCGTTCTACAAGGGTTAATCGGCATTTGCCAAGCTGCTGTCGTACTTCATTGGACCATTCATTTTTTCTATCGGATATTATCGCAGGACTTACCTCGGGGCTATCTTCGTGAGCTTGTGGCTAGGACATATACGAATCCGAACATGTTCCATAAAATTTTCACTCGAGTCTTGCAACCTTTGTATAGCATGATACTGCAGGCGAGCTGGTACGGCAATACGCAAAGAAGACCGATGGAGGCGCTAAGCGAACTGATAGAGATTCGCTGTGGACCAAACAGCAATATACATCCGATTTGCCGTTTGATAACGAATCAAGTTCAATTCTTGCCTGATGTTATGACATCAGCAGCCGGAAGAGAGCTCTCGAGAACCTCACTCCTGGGACCGTTTCTTTCGGCATTGGTATGTGCCGAAATGCAACCG